TTCGTCACACTGGTAGGACAGAATTCGTAGCTCTCCATGATTTGGATGAGTATGCAATTCCAAAATCACTAAACCCAAGTGATCCTCCACCAAATAGGTAAATTGTTGTTAATTTAATTTGATTAGGAAAATTGGTAAATTTTCACTGGGTAAATTGCCGACTAATTTGATTTTTGAACATTTTTAGACTGACACTCTTGCCTCAACTCTTCTCTAACAAGCAAATCGCCACATTGCGACTCAAAGTTCACTACTTTATGCCGGAGTGAGTAAATTTGATTCTTAATCTAATTCAAGCCTGCCTAAATTTAGTGAGAAAGGTTTGCCAATCACAATTAACAGTCAACAACGAATCGATTACGCGGACAATCAAGCCACAAAGTGCATAGTGAGACCACATTACATTTATGCACAGGTTGGCTTGCTAACCAACAAAGGACGGTCAACTCTGGTTTAGCCGGCCAAACGCTAAGCGATCTATACCATTTGATGCACTTTATGCTGACTCCGTAAAAGCTGTAATAGTAGCCCCTCACCTAATAATAGCCCTGCCCAAATAACAATGAAAAATTTGCATAATTTTGCATAATATTTTGGCTTTTGATTGAATATTTTGTACCTTTCCTTGAAATTGAAAAATATTCAGTCAAAAGGAGTGATTCATTGACTTTATACTGTGTAAAGTGTAGCCTTTAACAAATTGCTTTTGCCAAGAAACGCTTTTACTACGCTTCCTTTTACTAATCTATTGGGTTGATGGAAAAGTCCTTTCCGATTTTTTGGGAGAGTACCTTAAGTTTGTCCAATTTTGACGTTTTATAGCTCATCCTAAAGCTGAATTCAAGACGGATCGATTGGTAAAAACCGTTTTGAGATATCTCTTTTCTAAAAGTTTTTACAGCTATTTTAGTAAAGGGCGGCAGAGCCAAAAAATGGCTGTTTTCACGTTTCGTTAGTTTTCCGTGCAGAAACCTAGGCTAAAAACATGTGTTTCGTGATCGGCGTCAAAAATAACCCCTAAACACGCATTTTCAGAATCTTAGCAAAAAAAATTTTTGAAAAATATTGTCACCGGTGGAAGTCGACCCAGCGACCCTCAAATCAATAGCTTTTCCGCCGCTTTTCGCGATTTTCCTTCGTTTTTCTCGTTTTTTTTTGTTTCTGAATGTGTCTAGGGGTTATTTTTGACGCTGATCACGAAACACATGTTTTTAGCCTAGGTTTCTGCACGGAAAACTAACGAAACGTGAAAACAGCCATTTTTTGGCTCTGCCGCCCTTTACTAAAATAGCTGTAAAAACTTTTAGAAAAGAGATATCTCAAAACGGTTTTTACCAATCGATCCGTCTTGAATTCAGCTTTAGGATGAGTTATAAAACGTCAAAATTCGACAAATTTAAGGTACTCTCCCAAAAAAGCGGAAAGGACTTTTCCACCAACCCAATAGATTAGTAAAAGGAAACGTAGTAAAAGCGTTTCTTGGCATATTTCCAAATAGCTGCACTGACTGGGGCCAGCAAGGACGCTGCTAGGACCCAAATGGCCACATTTTCAGAGTCCTAACAAGAATTTAGACCCTTATAGCCTAATAGATTGTTATTTAGCAAAAATGGAATACCTATTCTAAATCAGGAGAAAATTCTACGTCGAATTTTATAGGTCACATAGCATTTGGCCGGCTCAGCCAGTTGATCTTCCCTTGTAAAAAAAGTAATGGCAAAAAAAAACATTGCTTAGCATTGTTTGTGTTGAAAACAGATCAATTTTAGGGAATTCATTTCACTTTTGATCCCATTCAAAAGCCATATTCCACAGGTTATGGAGATGAGAAACAAATGACTCTCTTTCATTACAAAGAAAAGGAACTAGCGATGGAAAGGGTAGAAGGAAGGATTGGGAAAACGAGAGCGTCAAAAATGGTAAGGAATCAACTTTTAATTGTAATAGTTCTGTAATCGTTGAAAAAAAGGAGTAAGAATTAGACTTGTAACGAAAAAATCGATCAGTCCTTTTTTGCCGTTGGCAGTTTAAGGTTTTTTGTGTTTTTCTCAGCATAAACACCTCTATTTTGACTCTTTTGACAAGCATTCGATGCAGAAGAAAATTGCGCGTTAAATGATACCAAAATCAATTCAAAATATAATATCCATGTAAAGTTATGAGGCAAAAGGTTAAGTCCCGTCCATAATGAGGTTTTTAGCCAATAACTTTGTGTGGATATTATATTTTGAATTGATTTTGGTATCATTCAACGCGTAATTTTCTTCTGCATCGAATGTTTGTCAAAATAGTCCAAATCAAAGGGTTAGTGCTGAGAAAAAACAAAAAACTTTAAACTGCCAACGGCAAAAAAGGACTAATCGATTTTTTTCCTTGTTTTCGCTGTTTTCGTTACAAGTCTAGTAAGAATTTCTAACAATAAATAAGAAATTGTTAGTTACTCGCACGAAAGTTGTTTAGGCTGAGGACAAATACTTCATGAATCATTTCTCGAACTTCTCTCAAATCTTTACTGAAAAGTGCAACCAATTTGCTCTATGACCGATCGTTTTTTTTTGTTGTAAACGCATAATTTTATAGTGTTTCGAATCTACTTTTAAAAAGCATTAAATCATTTTTTTAAATTTCAGTTGACAAAAGGATGAAAAAGTTTCCCGTTTACAAAAGCACTCTTCTCAAAAAGAGTTACTCGATTCATTTATTCAGCTCTAGTGGATCCTTGAAGCTCTAGTGGATCCTTGAAGCTCTAGTGGATCCTTGAAGCTCTGGTGGATCCTTGAAGCTCTAGTGAACCCTTGAAGCTCTAGTGGATCCTTGACGTTATCTGTGCTATATCGGTACTTCATTTTAGGTTTTAAATGGGACCCATTGCCTATCCATTATCCTTTTTCGAGATTTATTCAAAGTTAATCCCACGGTTAGTTCAAGGAGAGGTTCTTTCGTTTTAGAAATTCCAGTCACCTCCAATAAGTTTGTGTATAACTCTTTTCCAATAAGCACTGCCAGAATTTGGAATCGACTCCCCAGAGTTTCGAGAGAGTCCAATAGTCTCGAAACCTTTAAATTATCTGTAGATGATCTTGATCTTGAAGCTCTAGTGGATCCTTGAAGCTCTGTTGGATCCTTGGAGCTCTAGTGGATCCTTGAAGCTCTAGTGAACCCTTGAAGCTCTAGTGAATCCTTGAAGCTCTAGTGGATCCTTGACGTTATCTGTGCTATCCATCTATTACATATACTATGTCGTGTTGCTTTTTATCGACCATTTTCGTGTGATGTTTATGAATTCATGTGTTTTAATCTTAAATCCAGCGCACTTTATCTCAGGCCCGGAATAAAGTATCTATATAAACATAACAAAAGTGTACTTGCTTGTTTCTAGTTCATTTTCTGTAGATTTTTCTTTTCTTTTGTTACCATAACCTGTAAATCCCTTGGATTACTGTATCCAAATGGGTTTAAAGCTAAGATAGTCATGTTTTTAGACGCTCTAATCAGATTACGATAGCTTTTTATATTATATTATTCATGTACTGTGACTATTTCCTTAATTATACTTTACCAAATGTCACGTAAAACAAAAAAGTTAACATATTATTATTAAATTTGAAAACAAAAACATCTTATTAACTTTGAAAAGAGTTGCCTCATACAGTGTTACGTCGTTACGTCGTTACTTTTGCTTCTCGATCACGAGCAAAGAGATCAAATTTCGAGCAAAGAGACCAGGACAGAAGCCAGATCCAAACCAGCTCAGTCTAGGCAAGGCTTCACTGCAGACTAAGCTCAGGCTTCACTGCAGACTAAGCCCAGGCTTCACTGCAGACTAAGCTCAGGCTTCACTGCAGACTAGGCAAGGCTTCACTGCAGACTAAGCTCAGGCTTCACTGCAGACTAGGCAAGGCTTCACCAATCTAATTCTTGACTCAAAACGCATCTACGCTCAAAAATTGTACATTGAATCCGTGGGAAAGTTTCAGTTTTGCTGCAATCGAGCAAATTTTGAAGATTACCATATTTGAACCATTCTATGATATTTTTTCTACAACAAGTCAACCAGATCAACCAGCTGATCCACCAGATTTACTAAAACACAACTTCACCTACGATTATTATAGCTGGGAAACCTTTGACTATTTTTTCTATACGCAAGGATGCGCAGAGCATCGAAGAGACGGATTTGGAGCGGGTGGATACTTGAAAAAATGGAACGGGATACCGATTAGAACCCATCACCTCGACAAGTACAATCCTTTTGGATTTGTGACTTTTTCTACGGTGGGTATTATGCAGAGTTGGTTGGAAAGTAATTTTTCCGGGCCAGATCAGAAGGCAGTTCTTAGCCAGGCTTCTGGTCTTGCCTGGCCCTGCGCGAAGCTAGGCTGCTGCAATTCCGCTTCTGGATTGACTTTGATCTCGTCTTGCCTAACCTGACCTAGCTTACAAGGGAAACTTACAAGGGAAACTTACAAGGGAAACTTACAAGGCCTAGCTTACAAGGCCCAGCTTACAAGGCCCAGCTTACAAGGCCCAGCTTACAAGGCCCAGCTTACAAGGCCTAGCTTACAAGGCCTAGCTTACAAGGCCTAGCTTACAAGGCCTAGCTTACAAGGCCTAGCTTACAAGGCCTAGCTTACAAAAGGCTCCGCTTTGTAACTAAACGCACTACCACTACACCACCTTTGTTAGCGTCCCGTCTCCATCCGTTTTTAACTCGAGAGCTCAAACTATGCGTTAGCTCCAAAACACCAAGCCATTCCGAAGCTAACTGAAGCTAGCTATCGAAGCATGATATCGCTTTGTTTTATTCTCAAATTTGTTTAACAACTCTGTACAGGGGTGTAACTTTGTGCAATTTTCGAGTAATAGAGAATGAAAAATGTCCTTGTGCAGTAAGAGAATGAAAAATGTCAGCGAGAGCTCTTGATTGCACACGAATTGCTAGACTTTGCTCAGAAATTCGACTATAACTTTTCAGAAATTCAAGCATCATCGCCAATTCAAGCATCATCGCCGTCCCTTTGATTTTTGTTAGCTTCTCCTTTAATTCTACCATTTTGCCGGGTTTTTCCATTTGCGGTGAGCCATTTACTGAAATGAAAGTTGTTGAAATTTGTCAGAAAAGCTTTCTTTCCAAAAGTCATTTAGGGTCGTTAGATCTTTAGATGCAAAAATCTTTAGACTAAAGAAAATCTCATTTTTGATTGTTTGAGAATTGGTATAGCTTCAAAGATTTGGGTTCACTTAATTCATTAGCTGGTTACGGTATTTAGTCTAGATTAAGGTTTTCAGCCTAGAATAAGGTATTCAGTCTACATTAGCTGGATTACGGTATTCAGTCTAGATTCGGTATTCAGTCTACATTAGCTAGATTACGGTATTTAGTCTAGATCAGGAACTATGAAAGAACTCTAAAGGAACTATAAAGGAGCTCTAAAAGAACTATAACTAGAGAAAATCTCATTTTTGATTGTTTGAGAATTGGTATAGTTTCAAACATTTGGGCCCACTTACCCATAATTCTCACTCGCTTCCAACGTCTTCTCGTCAGCTTTCCACAAAAGTTTCTCAAATATTTCGAGTTGTTTGATGAATCCTAAAATCAAAGTGAAATTGAAATTGAAATCAAAATTGAGAATTCGTAAAGATAAATTTGCATAAGTCGGTTGCATAAGTCGCGCTTTTCTGACCTTCATTTGGATGGCATTGCCAGTGAGAGGATCTCACATGATTGAGCGCCTCTTTGGTGGAGCACGAGTTTCTGCAAGAAGAATTGACTGGTACTGAAGACTGAAGATCTCCTCTACATTTTGATATAAAAAGTTTGTGAATTTGTTCAGCTTTTGGGCAAATTGACTGCACAGAAGAAAAGGTGGCCAAAAAAATGGAAGGGTGCCTTTGGATCAAGTCTTGGCTCCGCTCAAATTGAGTTAACCGTTTGATGTTTGGCCAATAGATACAATAGATACAAGTTTTTTTTAAATATAACAATTTCAGAGCATCTTTACTTTTCTTTTCCTTTCTGGGCGGTTATTTTACACCATAAAACTTGAGGAATAGCTAAGCTGGAATTGGTTTTTTCGAAAACGACCTCTCCCTTTGTGCAGTCAATTCCCCAAAAAGTTGAATGAATTCAAAAACCTTTTTATTCCAAAATGTAGAGGAGATCTTCAGCTTTCGAATGATATATAACACTCATATACATCTGTTCGATCTCTTGAGAAATTTACAAAATAGTAAAAACGCGCATTCATAACTGGACAACCCAATATGTACAGTACTGGACAATGAAATATCATATTTGAAAAACGATCGTCACTTTCGCGCGTCTGTAACTCCCTTGTCTTTGAGTTTAAACTATTAGTGTTATACATTTTCTGAAAGCTCTTTTCAAGGGCTACACAATGGTAATATTAATATTTAGAAATGCGGTAAAGACAAGGAAGTTACAGAGGCGCGAAAGTGACGATCTTTTTTCAAATATGATATTTCATTGTCCAGTAGTGTAGCTTTTCAGCTTTTTCTCATCCATTTCTACTAAAAATTCTTCTTGTTACATAATGTTTTTCAAATATGACATTTCATTGTCCAGTACTGTATGTGATAAGAATCGAAAAAATATTCATACTGTAAATGCCGTATTAGAGCCACCTCCTCAAATAGAGCGACTCCCGTCTTTCCCAAATTTTTAATAAAACCCACGCTTAGGAAAAATTCCTCTTACTTTTAGCGAAAATTATTGCAAAAAAATTGATGGAAAAATCACGGGCGCCGCTTTATATACGAGCGCCGCCTTATATACGAGTGCCGCCTTATATACGAGGTCGCCTTATATACGAGCGTCGCCTTATATACGAGCGTCGCCTTATATACGACTGCCGCCTTATATATGAGCCTCCCTTAGATACAAGTGCGGCCTTATATACGAGCGCCGCCTTATATACGAGCGCCACTTTATATAGGAGCGCCGCTTTATATACGAGCGCCGCCTTATATATGAGCCTCCCTTAGATACAAGTGCCGCCTTATATACGAGCGCCGCCTTATATACGAGCGCCACTTTATATAGGAGCGCCGCTTTATATACGAGCGCCGCCTTATATATGAGCCTCCCTTAGATACAAGTGCCGCCTTATATACGAGCGCCGCCTTATATACGAGCGCCACTTTATATACGAGCGCCGCCTTATATATGAGCCTCCCTTAGATACAAGTGCGGCCTTATATACGAGCGCCGCCTTATATACGAGCGCCACTTTATATAGGAGCGCCGCTTTATATACGAGCGCCGCCTTATATATGAGCCTCCCTTAGATACAAGTGCCGCCTTATATACGAGCGCTGCCTTATATACGAGCGCCACTTTATATACGAGCGCCGCTTTATATACGAGCGCCGCCTTATATATGAGCCTCCCTTAGATACGAGTGCCGCCTTATATACGAGGTCGCCTTATATACGAGCGTCGCCTTATATACGAGCGTCGCCTTATATACGACTGCCGCCTTATATATGAGCCTCCCTTAGATACAAGTGCCGCCTTATATACGAGCGCCGCCTTATATACGAGCGCCACTTTATATACGAGCGCCGCCTTATATATGAGCCTCCCTTAGATACAAGTGCCGCCTTATATACGAGCGCTGCCTTATATACGAGCGCCACTTTATATACGAGCGCCGCTTTATATACGAGCGCCGCCTTATATATGAGCCTCCCTTAGATACAAGTGCCGCCTTATATACGAGTGCCGCCTTATATACGACTTCTTTTAAAGGTATTCAACCGTTTAACTGATTTGGTGGCAAATTCCCTTTAAATGTAAAGATATTCAATTTACTCGACGTGTAAAGAGGATTACTCGTAGTTGCTCGATCAAAAACGCCGATTAATCGAGTAAAATTACTCATCCAGCTTTTAACTCACTTACTCGCGAGCAACACACTCTAGTGCTGAGACATGGGATCGGTTTTTACTGTAAAAAACTACAGAATGAAACTAGTTCTCTGAAATTTTGGAGATTTAAGAGCTCATCTTAGTCTAGATTATGATATAAAAAATGTTTTTACGTAGAAGCAGTATTTGGGAAGATTTAGTGAAAAATGTAAGGACGAGTTATTTCTTGTCATCCTGTAAAATAACCTCACCTTCTCATCACATATGCACAACAAACGGCGGCACTTCGAGAGATTCCCGCCTCGCAATGCACCAGAATGCTCCGATTTGAAGAGATTGCTTCTAGAATTGAAAAAAATGGGTTTGCAATTTATATGATAATCGTCTTTCCTGTCAAATCTAAGCTTACAATCATTACAATCATTACAATGATTGTAATCTTATCCATAACTAATCATTACAATGATTATTTATGGATTTAAGGAGAACATTCAAGCAAACCTTCCAGAATACTCAACAATTCCTCCAATCGAGTGAGAATATTTTCCATTGGTTCATCGTCTAATGCGATGTGATGATATCTGATGTGCTGAAATTGGATAATTGCTAATACTTTCAGCTTTTTAGACTCAAACCCCGTATTGTTTCGTCCAAGAAATTGGATCCAAGCAAACAGTTAGAATTTCAGCAATTTCTGTAAATTGAAAGTGGGAATAAATAACGAGACAATGGGTTACTTGATGGTTTTAAAGAAATATTATTTTGCCGGCTCGGTACTCCTCACTCATGACAAGCTATTTCTTGTTTTGAGATACCTGATCTCACTATCTCACTTGATTTCCACTCTCTTGAACTAAAAAATGCACTCTTTATCCAAATAGCCGATCGATACGGAATTTTGAGCTTAGTTCGATACTTAGTTAGAGCTCTCCTAGAGTTAGAGCTCTCTTAGAGTTAGAGCTCTCCTAGAGTCAGAGCTCGCTTAGAGTTAGAGCTCTCTTAGAGCTTACACGAATCGACAATTGAATTAAAAGAAACGATAAATAGAAAACAATTTCGTCCAAACTCCGCCAAAAACCAAAAAAACAAAAACCAAAACAAAAACGAAAATGAAAATGACGACAAATGAACTTAAATAGGCTTTAAACGTTGCCTTATATAGGTTTTGAACGCCAGATATTCAGCTAGCGAGCTGCAAAACAACAATGAAATAGAATGGATTTCCATGGACATGGATATCCTCAATAATTTTCCAATTTTCACAATGGTTCTATCTCCACAATGGTTCTATCTCCAAGAATGGTTCTGCCACAATGCTTCTATCTCCAAAAATCGTTCTGCCACAATGGATCTATCTCCAAAAATTTGCAATTTAGCTTATCATGTGTGTCACAGATTTTCAAATGGTTTCAAATTTAGAAGTTTCTAAAGTTTAGTTAGAGTTTCTTATTACAAAAGATTAAAAGAATGATTGCTTACCGTATTTTCCGAGAACTCGCTTATTTGAGGCAGCCTTTCGATCGCTTATCCACAAATGGGGCAGAATTTGGTCAATTCCCATCTCAGAGTATTCCATGCAAGACTTGAATAGAAGTTAAATTGAATTGAATTGAAATTTCAATCTGGAGACGGGAAAATGTTGTGAAAAGTGAACTCTGCAAAAGATTCAGAGTGAAAAGAAGAAAATTAGCTTGAAAGTGCGTAAAAGAGAAAAGAGAAAAGGGAAAAGAGAACAATGACTCATTGAAAAGAAGGAAAGAATTGTGCAATATTGGGTAAAAATCAGGATTTCTTTTGTTATTCAATATTTTCTTTTAAAATCAATATCAATATCAATTTCCTGCATTTTCCCGCATGCTTTTTATGAACTTTTTCATGAGCTTAAGAGCTTAAGCTAATCCTTATCAAGTTTTGCTTTTGTAAGGAAAACTTTGCAAAGGTTTGCCCGGTCAAAAATAGTCAAGGTTTGCCCTCCTCAAGTGGCTTATCCTCAAGTGGATAACTCTCCAAAGGCGCCAACCCCTCTCGAACAGTGTAAATGAAAACTCAATGAAAACTCAATGTGAGACCCCTCATGGGGTCTCACAAAAACCTCAAAAACCATTATAAGTTTAATTTTTTTTGGAAGAATTTAAGGGTTTGAATAAACGATGTAACAACTTGAGTTAAAAAAAGATTTGAATCAGTATCAAAATAAAACAAAGCTCAAAACAAAATAAAGCTCAAAACAAAATAAAGCTCAAAACAAAACTTCCTGATTCTTTTAGGCAAAGGTAGAGCTTGGCTTGAAGAAATTATACAGTTCTAGTATTCTGTTCCACACAGTAAACCGAAAGAAAGTGCGAAAAGGTGCTTGGGTAATTCAATCAGAAATCCATTAATAACTGGACAAACCTTGAGTCGGACAAACCTTTTTAACTCGATCTTCACATCTAGATCGTTTAAATTGAATAAAGAAAATACTTAGCATAAAAATACTTTTAAAAATCGTTAATTATATACTCTTAGTAACTCAAATCCAAAAGCTTTTGGTCCTAAGCCGTTTTGTAAGTTCTAGAAGTTGAAAGAAGCTGTTTTGCTCTTTTTGCTCTTTTTGCACAAACGCGGTTCGTTTTCAGCGCCCAGATTTTGAATAAAATAACACATTTTTAACTCTGAATAGCCAAATTAGAACTTATATTTCATGTAAGATCATTTTTTTCATCAGAAACTTTTCTAAAAGCGATCCTTTCTTGAACTTTGTCTTTTCTTTTCACACGAAAAATAGCAGACTTTTTATTTTGGTCTGTAAAAATTGTGATTTTATAGCTAATAAGCGCAAACAATAGGAATATTCTTCTCATAGGAATAACTTTAAATTTCTTTTGATTTGATTTGAAAATTTGATTCCACATTTTAGCTGAGGATGAACGGCGTTTGTGCGGCCTCAGGTTTGGCCAAAAGAGCGGCCTCAGGTTTGGCCGAGTTGTTTCTTTCAACTCCTAGAATTTACAGAAACGGCCTAGGACTTAAATCTTTTGGATTTGAGCTACTAAAAGTGTATAATTGACGATTTTTAAAGTGTTTTTATTCCGTCTGTGAAGTATTTCTTTATTTGATTCAATTTAGTCCATCTGGATGTGAAGATCGAGCGAAAAAGGTTTGTTCGGGTTATTTCTGATCACAGTGTACAAGAGAAAACAACAAGAATTTACATTAGAAAGTTGTTGGAAAACGGGAAAGTAGGCTATAGGCTAAAGGCTAAGTACGCTAAAGGCTAAGTACGCTACAGGCTAAGTACGCTACAGACTAAATAGGCTACAGGCTAAGTAGGCTATAGTAACTGCTTGACGGCCCATAGTTTAAATACAACCTTTTGTAATTTGTAAATCATATAATTTGTATTGTACTGTACATAATTTGGATTTAGAATAGTTAAACTGAATTTGAGGGGTAAAAATCCCATATCAAAGGTCCCATTGGTCTTCGCCCGATCCTCTGAAATCATCCGTCTTTGCTGCTTTCTCAAAATATAACATTTTTCTAAATGTTTTTAGTACTAAAAGGTAATCATATTCAGAGAAAATGAACGCAAAACTCATCTTTTAAAATAAAGCCTTTGATCTAGCCGTCAAATCCTTTTGATCTCGCCGCCAAATCCTTTTGATCTCACCGCCAAATTCAGTTTTTTCAACGTTACTCAAAAACGGCCAGAGATTTTTGAATTCTGAATTGGACCAAACATCCGGGCTCGATTGTATCAAAAAACCAGAACGAAATCTCTACTAAGACTTGAGTTATGGCCCGGAAAAACAAACAAACAAAGACGAACTTCGTGTCTTATAAAAACTAAGACAAGTTGATCTCAAAGACTTTCAGAACCATCATCTCCATTCAGCAAAATCATTCAACAAACATTGGAAAGAACAAAAATCATTCGGCAATTTAATATTTATCAACTATCAATCTTTGATTAGATTCCAAAGGTAGAATCAACTCGTTTCATCGAGATCTCACCAGGGAATTTCGCCTTTCTTGCCATTGTTGATCACAGGAACGGGGAACTAGTTGCTTCAAACTCAGTGCCAGCCAAACCTCTTAAAACGTTCCAAAATGGTGGATTATTTATCTCGTTATTTCAAGGTGAGTAACGATTTACAGAAGATTAAGCATGACTTTTATAGCCAGTCAGGATCACCTTAGGCCACAAGTGCGGGTATTGATGGCAATTACGAAAACCACTGGCTATTCTTGTCAGGTAATGTTTCAACCGTCATTACTATTCAGTAAAACTCGTATCAGAGATGGCTGAGCACCTGATGCATTCACCTGCAATCTACAGGGTGCAGCAGGATTATTGCAACCGTCTCAGGGCATCAATATTAGTTCCAACAACTATCCCGACATACTTAAGAAAGATCCATAAGCCAAGAACCACTTTGGCAACAGGATTTGGTGTTTTATGTAGGATGATACTAATGCTCACAAGACTCGGGTGGTTCAGGCCTGGTGCAAACACATTTTTTTAATTTTTTTTTACATTTTTACTAACATTTTTCACATTTTTACTAACATTTTTTATCAATCAAGTAGCTCAAAGTCGTGAACAGTGCCAACATAAACGATAGATCTAGTAGTTAAGCCATAGATCTAGTAGTTAAGTCATAGACCTAGTAGTTAAGTCATAGATCTAGTAGTTAAGCACATCTTTGTTCAATCTTACGTCCAAATTCAGTTTGACAATGGTGCAACAGTCCCTGGGAAACTGTATCAATTCAATGAAAATCACGGTAAACCACTGAAAGTCTACTATTTGAATTGTCTTCCGCCGAAGGATGTTTTACTAGAAAACATTGGTAAAGGTCAAATATCTATTTTCCCATCAATTTCTTCAGAAAATATTACGATTATACACGATTTTGTGAAGAAAGCCATTGTGCCGATTAGTTACAAGATACAGGTCTGCTGCTTCAGTCAAGATATTTGAGATTTTCTTAAAAGTATTTCAGGATGAACAAAATATGACCAATTTCAAGCAAACTTTCGCCATTTGTGTTCCATTTTTATTCGGTGACAAATACACTGGTAAACATTTAGTGGAGTTTATCGAAATGAATCGATTGTTGGGCGTTGAACAGGTGATCAAGAGCTTCAAAGATCTAGAGCTTGATGTCTAGGATTTAAATTTTGATAACAAACATGGGTACTCTTTTACTTTAGAAGCCCCCAAACCATGGCTTTCACTTTTTTTTCCATAAAATTCAAATTTCTGCGTTAATTCAATAATTTGCATAAAGATTATATTATTTTAAAAATGTTAAATGGTCATTATTATTATCTGGCACAATGGTCATTCTTATTATCTGGATCCGCTCGACTTCCTTCGAGGGATTAAAGCAGAGCAACGAAAGCTGTTCAACTTTATATGCCTTCGATCAATGCAATATCAAAGCAATATCAAAGCCATCAAAATAAACTAAAGGACATGGCGCTACTTTGCAAATGAAAATGAATTGGAAATGATTATTGGAAATCTAAGCTGAGGAAAAGAGCCAGAAAAAGCCAGAAAAGAAAAAGAAGCCAGAAGCTAGAATCCGAAGAAACAATCAAAGAAAAAGAAGCCAGAAGCTAGAATCCGAAGAAACAATCAAAGAAAAAGAAGCCAGAAGCTAGAATCCGAAGAAACAATCAAAGAAAAAGAAGCCAGAAGCTAGAATCCGAAGAAACAATCAAAGAAAAAGAAGCCAGAAGCCAGAATCTAGAAGCCAGATCAATACAAAAGGTGGAAAAAGTGCTATGGAAGTTTTTAAGTCGTTGCTGAAAGTTTATCCCCTAATGGTTTGGGGGCCCTAAAATAAAAAACTACCCAAAAATGTATTGATTGTGATGAAAAGCTTTCGGTAATAGCTTTAAATTATAAAATTACGGTAGCTTTACGTAAAATCACGGATTAAGATAGTTTTATCTTTGGCTAACTTTTAGAAACAGTCTATTGAAGGGAAGCAAAGACTCTTTCTATTTATTAAACATTTCATAGTTACTTGCCCAATTACTTATTGACGCCAAGCAATTAAGCTTTTGTTAGTAAAGCATTTAGATCTCAATTTACGCAGATGACTCGATGAATGCTGATATGAAGAGGGTTATGAACGGGTATGCAAAGGAAGGGTTTGTCCATATCGATATGTAAATATTACTGTAAAACTGTTTCAGACTCCTGGAGGTCATCCCATTCTCTTTGCCATTTAATGATTCAAATATTTGGTCCTATGGGCAACTCTTAACGGTAAGATTTACTAAAGCAAGCTTGAAATTTTAAGCTTGCAATGTATTCACTTCCTACAATGCCTGCAATGTGCCATAGGCTGCAATGTGCCAAAGCCTGAAATGTGCCAAAGCCTGTATTCAAAGGCTGCAAAGTGCTAAAGCCTGCAATGTCCCAAGCCCGCAATGTCCCAAAGCCTGCAATGTGCCAAAGCCTGTATTCAAAGGCTGAAAAGTGCTAAAGCCTTAAATGTACCAAAGCCTGCAATGTGCCAAAGTCTGCAATATCCCAAAGTCTGAAATGTGCCAAAGCCTGAA